CAAGGAGAAAGTATTTTAGTTCAACTTCAATCCAACAAATGAAACTGTAGAAGAATTTTTACCTCAACAAGACCCCACAACTAGTCTTCAAAAGACATCTAAGTTCCCTTTTGATTTCAGTGATCCTGGTTCATGGCCACAAAGTTTTTCTGATTCAGAAAGATGTTTCATAACAAAAATAAGATTTGAAAATTTAACTGAACCAAATTTGAGTAACAGTAGCTGAGAAGGACGAAATTTAACCAAAGACTGGTTTTATAAAGTTCTCAAAAATGGAGAAAAAATGAAAAGATCATGGTTAGCCTATAGTGAAAGTAATAAAGCTCTCTATTGTATTCCCTGCAGACTGTTTCCACACTTAGCTTCAAATCAAATATCTTCTTTAGCTAAAGAAAAAGGACTTACCAATTGGAAAAAACTTAATGAAAAGTTGCATGAACATGAAAATTCATCTAACCACAAACTTTGCTTTTGCTCTAGGATCTTGTTTAGTAAATGGAAGTATTGATGCAGAACTCCAAGATCAGATCCAACAAGAAGAGTTGCATTGGAAAGCGGTATTGCGCTGTATTGTAGATGCTATTCTATTCTTGGCAAAACAAGGAAGTCCATTTCGAGGAACTAAAGAAAATTGTGATTTCAGCAACCCATCTAATGAAAAGTTCTTGAATACAGTTGAACTTATTTCGCATTATAATGTTCCTCTTCAACAACACATTGAGCGGCATAAGAAAGGACAAATATCCTATTTTTCACATAAAATACAAGATGAGTTTTTAGAAATTATTGCTAATAACATAAAGCAAGGAATAATACAAGACATTTTGGATGCAAAATATTTTTCCTTAATATTTGACTGCACTCCGGATATCAGTCACAGCGAACAAATGACACAAATAGTTCGTTACGTCAAAAAAGATACAACCGAAATAGAAGAAAGTTTTATTGATTTTTTTAAAGTTAATGTCAAAACAGGTGAAGGTCTCAGTCAAGAAATTTTGAAAAAATTAGATGCAGATGGACTTAACTTGGAGAATGGTAGGGGGCAATCCTATGACAATGGAGCAAATATGGCTGGAAAATATAAAGGAGTCCAGTCCAGATTATTGCAGAAAAACCATCTGGCATATTTTGTTCCATGTGCTGCACACTCTCTCAATTTGGTTGGTGCTAATGCAGCTAGTGCTACTGTCCAGGCTCAGAATTTTTTTGGAACTTTGAACAGCTTGTATTGTTTTTTTGCACTTTCAACTTCACGTTGGGAAGTTCTCAAAGAAAAAGTGCCGATAACATTAAAACCTGAAAGCAAAACAAGATGGTCTGCAAGATTAGATGCAGTCGAAGCTGTATATAAACATTATAGTAAAGTCCTGCAGACTCTAGAAGATCTTAAAAACTATGATTTCTCAACTCCTCAAACTGTGAATGAGGCCAGCTCTCTTTTGAAAAATATTCAAAAACTTGAATTTATCGTGATGGTTAGATTTTGGCATGCATTGTTAGAAAAGATTAACCCTGTAAACGAATTTTTACAAAAAAAAGATTTAACAGTTGATTTGGCTGCCCAAAACCTCAAAGGTCTTTTGACACTTATGAAGTCTTGCAGAGAGTCTGCACCATCTGAGGCCATTGCTGAGGGTAAATTGTTAGCAAAAATGAATAATCTAACATCTGCATTTTCAGAAAAGAGACCAAGAATGAAAAGAAAAATGGCTGATGAATTGTGCAATGATGAAGCTCTGACAAGTGTTGAAAATATGTACCAAATGACTATGTTAGAAATCATTGACAGAGTGATTACAGAACTTAGTGACAGATTTGAATCTTTGAATAATGTAAACAGTATGTTTGGGTTTTTGAGTGGTGTTAAAATTGAAGAAATGCAGACAGCAGATCTAAAAATTAAAGCCGAAAATTTGGCAAATATATACTCAGCTGATCTCAACATTGATGAATTCATGTTTGAAATAGAAAGTTTTAAGCATCACGCTTTGACAGTTGACAAAAGTTTAAAAAAAGCCACATCAAAAGAAATGCTAAGTCTCATTTATAAAAATAAATTAGAAGAGGGCTACCCTAACATCACTACTGCATTGAGAATCTTTCTCACGTTGCCTGTCACAGGAAAACGAAGTTTCAGTAAACTCAAAATCATCAAAAACTACATGAGAAGTACAATGGGACAGGGGAGACTTTCCAATTTAGGCATAATTTCAATTGAACACAAACGAGCATCTCTTATCAATTTTGATGATATAATCAATACATTTGCAGCTAAAAAAGCTAGAAAGATTTGTTTCTAATATAATATAATATAATATACGAAACAATTACTTGATAAGTTGACAAATTACATTGTTTGTAATACAAAGTTTTTCAATTTTTCACGTTTTATAACTATAATATAGTTGTTTTTTTCTATGTCAAGTATCTGTGTTAACATGTATATTGATATGTCCATAAATAAAACATTTTATTAAAAAACATGCAATATATAATTTAAAAAAATGCATTTATACACCTTACGGTAGTAGCATAATAACGTCGTGGGGGGGGGCGGCACACTGATTTTTGCCCCCCCTGGAAAATACCCTAGTTCCGGCCCTGCGTAACTAACTTGATGATACTTTAAATACGTTCGCGTATATATGTATAAGTACAATATGCATGGCAACTTAACCATTACTTTAATTAATATATCTATATAATGTGTGTGTTTGTATTTGGGTGTACATGTGTGAGTGTGTGTGTGTGTGTACATGTGTGTGTGTGTGTACATGTGTGTGTGTGTGTACATGTGTGTGTGTACATGTGTGTGTGTGAACGTTACTTATTCATATTGTATACTCACCATTAAACTGATTGTTCTAAAACTTGAAAAAAAAGAATTTAATAAAAAACAGCGTATAAATAACAAAAAAAAATGTTAAATAAATAAATAAAAATATAACTGTATATATAAAAATAAACATAATAACAGATATATATATGTAGAAAGAGAGAGAGAGAAAGCGAGAGAGAGCGAGAGAGTAATCTATAGTAAGGATGTATTATCACCGTTATCACAGTAGCTTTAATAATAATTCTAATGGTGTGATGATAGAAAAAAAATTGAATAAGTAGAAATGGCTGGCTCCATAATTATAGATTGATAAAAAAAATTGTAGATGATGATGATATGGTGTTAATGGTGAAGAAGATAATGACAATGATGACGATATATGATAATGATGATGACACTGATGATGATATTGATGATGATTACCTCTAGATCTCAACTTCTGCTGGTCTAGCATTATCACCACCTCAGTCACCTGCATTCATGTTAAATTTACTCGCATGATAATACGGACATCACTTTTATCCTCCTCATCATCACCATCATTATCCCTATCATCATCATCCTCATCATCATCATCATCATCATGATAATCATCATTACCATCACCATCATCAGTGTAGGCAGCATCATCATCATAACCAACGGGCCCATATTGGTTGAAGTGATCGGCCAACTGTTCCTCTGTGACGTTAACGGGCAGACCGCCGATGAAAATTTTCTTCTTACTGTTCTCTAGGCTTTTGCTGCCCTGCAAAATTAGGAACAAATTATGAATAAATTTTGGATAAATTATGAATAAATACCACGAATATAAATATGAATATATAAGTATGAATAAATTATGAATAAATACCACGAATATAAATATGAATATATAAGTATGAATAAATTATGAATAATTTCGATTCATAACACAGTAAAGAAGAAGTAGTTATGTGAGGATAAAAATAAAAAATAACAACAATGATAATAATTATAATAACAATAATAATAAAGATGTTTAACTATTTTCAGAAGTTGATCATTTACGCAGAATAATTTTAGTAAATGTTTCGTCCCACTCTAATAATAATAATAACAGCATGAAATATAATAGTACAGGCGCGATGGTGGAGCGGTAAAGTGCCTGGCACTGCTGTTGCAATGACCGGATTCGATGGCATTGAGATCCCAGCACACATTTGCAGGCATGCACTGTGCGTTCGTCGCTGATGTATCTCAAGTATATTGAAAGGATAATTATATGTTAATTTTTTTGTATTTTAATAATTTTATTGACTAAAAAGATAGAAAAGAAATATGTCACCTTATTCATACTTCTTGGATTGCAGGCTTTCGGGTCAATCTGTAAAAATAATAACAGTATAATAATAATAATGAAACGACAAATGAACTAAATTGCTATATAAAATAACTTATAAAAAATTAATTAAAATAGAATTTATAATAAAACGAAGTTTTGTGTGTGTGTTTGTATCGTGTGTTATCAGTGTATAATGCGATTGACTAACTGTACATTAATGATAACAAAATTTCATTAAACAGATAGTCGGAAAATTGGAAAATATAGTGCAGAACTAACGTTCCTGAACTCGTCAAACGAGGGGGGAAATAAAAAAGAGACATTACGTTGTGAAAAAACTGTTAGAAACTGAATGAACAAAATATTTCATCCATATGAAAGCTCTGTTCAAACTAGCTTGATGATGAAAAAGAAGAAAGTTAAATGATGTCTGAAATTGAAATAGCGTTTAATAGAAAATAGCAGAAAACCTAACTTTAAGAGTAGCACCCAAATCAAATTTTGCTTTAACTTGCTTCTAACAATTTATTTTTGTAAATTCTTTGAAGCAGTAGATCAAACAAATACTGCATTGAAAGCATAGACATAGGCTGCTGATGATTAAAAATGTTTAGAATTGACTCTCAAGAGATCTGCTGCTGACCAGCGTCGATGGTTTATAGTTTTTATTTTAGCTTTTCATCGTGATTATTTTCAACAAATGAAGAACGAATCAAGACTATTAGTTTAATAAATCCGCAAAACAATGATGACACAATGTTAAAACTTCCAAATTAACAAACTAATATGAACATTTAAGAAGATGAATGAACAAACGCAAACGACTGTAGAAACGAACGAACGAATGAACGGGGAATGAAAGAATAAATTAATAAAGAAACAAACAACTTAAATAAAGATTGAATGGTTGGATGGATGGCAGCGCTGACCCACGCATAAAACGTTCCAACCGACATCACAACACAGCCCTCAAGCACTTTTTATAATGAATAGCCAGGCAAGCCATCATCATCATCACCATCGCCCCACCATCATCATCATCACCATCAACACCATCATTACCAGGAGCATCGGCACTATTATTTCCACAAACGATCGTCGGCCGGCCATCACACTTAGCGTCATCTACAACGTACATACAACACAAACGAATCATTATCGTTAGCGATCTCTATCAAAGTGCCCCATATTAAAATCTTATTCCTTTCCCCCTGTCTCCCTCTTTCTCTCTCTCTCTATCGTCTTTCTCTTTCCCTCTTTTTTCTTTTCTCTCTCTCTCCCCTTCTTAAAAATCAAAATCTCTGCTGGCGTAGTTAAGGTAAAGCAGTAAGGAATAAATAGCCTTTACGCGATATCCACATCATCATCAGGATCGACATCATATTCATCCTCATCATCATCATTTAATTTCATTATACATACATAATTGAACAAAGAAGTTATTTGAAAAATGTGCACGCACACACACACACATATGCACGTACGCACAGTAATACATAATTCACTCTGATATATATATATATATTTATTTATATATATATAATAAGCCTAAACGCTTTTTTTAAACACATAATCATACTCTAATAATAAAATCACGAATTTAAACGTTTTAATAAACGCAAAAAGAACCAGCTAAAATGCAGCTTCTTTTTTTCATTCAAAATAATCCCCCCCCCCTCATTGATGCCATTATATTCTAAAAATAAATACAATTAAATATATAATGGCGCGAATACGTACAAAAATACACACACGCATACGAACACATACACACACACGCACGCACACAACATAGGAAGAGTCGCCCCACTTAACTTTTGAAGACATTAATGATAAAAATGTGTGCGACTATGATCGGTATTTAAATAAAAATTCGTGCCCACGTCAGAGTAGTAGAGCATTGTGCATGGGAACGGAAGAGAGTTAAGTGCTGACGAGACATTTATTAGTTTTTTCATGTCATTGTGGTAGATTCTCGTCATGATTTATAACCGAATTATTTCTTTACAACTCTAGGTTTTTCATTCATTTACTTCGCACAATCGTTCGTTCTTAAGTAATTCTTCAATTTATTCAGCCATTCATTCATTCGTTTGATCGTTCTATCAGTAATTCGTCTATTCATTCGTTCAAAATCGTACTCTCTTCAATTTATTTTTCTACAACCAGCCGACATCCATTCATAAATTTAAAATTTTTAATTTCTTATTCGTGAACCAGTCATCCGAGCAGTCACTACCATAGCATAGCAGCAACGCAATTTGAAAACCTCAAATTTTAAGATAAATTGAGCGAATGAATTTTAAGTCCTTAATGTCCAATTTCAATTACCGTCGGCATCATCTGCACGAACAAACACACGAACGTTCAAGAGAGCGATTTCTCTTTCATATCCTCGCCTTTTTACCGCAATAATGACCAAATTTCTAATGAATGACGTGATCCGTAAATAGATTTCGTGCAAATAGGAATAGGCTCCTAACAACATCAAACTTGTACTGTGAATATTGTATATTTTAATAAAAATCAAGTGGCGTAATTATGTAGCTGTAAAAGCGGCGCCGACGACGATGGTATTATTAGTAATGACGAAAAGTTAAGTGGCTGCAGTTGGCTTGGCGACGATGACGGCGATGACGATTAGAGTTGTTGAAAAGAGATGGCGCGAGATAAAGAGGCAATCACGCATGGACTTACATCGTCGTCGAATCATCCTCCTCGTCTCCGTACCACCCCTCTCACCATATCATCTCCTCATCTCAGCACATCTTACCACCTCACCATATCATCTCATGATAGCATCATTTCATCACATCGAGTTCTCACATCATCTCACGGCATCACGTCACATCTGTCGTCAGTGCAATCATTAATATTAATGCAATTCAACATGCTGATTATTTACCAATTCCACAATGGTTGAAATGCTTTAAAAACTTTTATATATGCAGATGGATGGATGGATGGATGGATGGATGGCTATAAACGTCATCACCATATCGTATCAATGACATTATTAATGTCATTGCTGCTTCTGTATGTAATGGACATTGCAGGGCAAACAAACATGGACCGCCTTCCAAACAATGTTCCTTATTACTTGAGGCATATATTAGAAATCTGCAGTCCTATTTGTAAATATTAGCCGCTCAGACATCTCTTATCATCATCATAATTACCATCATAATTGACGTCAGTATCGTCACAATAATCATCCTTCCCCTCATCATCATCATCAACACAACCATCTACATCCCCATCAGCAAAGGCTTAGGTTCTTGATTGCTTTCTGATGCATATCTCAGTCATTTGTTTGTTTGCGCAGCACAGCACATTACATCACACAGGTTGAAATGCTTTGAAAACTTTCATATATGCAGATGGATGGATGGATGGATGGATGGATGGATGGATGGGTTGGTGGATGGATGGGTTGGTGGGTGGCTAGAAGAATGGATGGATGGCTAAATAGACGGATGAATGAATGGATAGGTGGAATGATCAGATGGAATTTAAATAGCACCCCGTAAAATATGTACACACACACACGCTTGTTTATGGCTAGTAATTTCACTGAAATTGTATGTGAATATGTTATGTATGTCGCATTGAAGTTATTGAATTAATGTACACTTGATATCAAGGTCATTCTTTATATAATTTGAAAGTTTAAAAATGTAATGACATTTTTGGTTTGTCATTGGTTTTTGATGTCAGTGTATATAAATAGTGAATTCGTGTGACCTAACTAACTCTGTGCCATTTGTAAACTGTGCGCAATACGAAGGCTTAATTCCAAACAGATTCATTCGCCGAATAGAACATAACCCAAAAAATCGCTATCGTAAATTTGGAGATAAAAAAAGCTGGCTCGGAAAATATCGTCATGACGGCTAAAATATAAAAACATTGGACAATTTTATATAAGATCCTGCTTTCTACTTTGTATGCGTGCGCGTGTCTGGAGAGCAGGTAGAAAGCATAACGAACCAGAGGACGAAGTATATCTCGTAACCAGTTCAAGTTGACTAGCGGGAAACTTAGGCCCCAAATATATACGTACCAATTCCATAAATGATTAAATAAATGGAAAAAATATAATTTTTCAATGAACTCATCAACATGTACGTCTAGATAACACACCGACCTTTAAAACCAACAACTAACTCATCATACACTTCAGGTAAAAGATTTTCTAAGCGGTCAAACCAGGTCTACCATCATAGAGAGCTGCGAGAGATTCGGCATTTTTACCGAGTAAACATACAGACATGTGCATCCAAAAACATTATATATAATAAAGAGAGAGAGAGTGAGAAAGAGAGAGACAGTGAGTTTGAGAGAAAGAAAATAAGAGAATTTTATTAATAAGGAAAGTAACATCGAGTGCAATCATGAATTAAAATCAAATCAATTACTCAAATGATTGAACCGTCAATGGAGATAAATTGAATAAATTGCTTATCACAACCACCACAAACCACAGAAATCATTCAATTATTATCATCTAATAAAGTTCATCGTTATGATAATTTCATTCACCAACAATATGAACGACTCCTCAAAAATCTGAACGAGATTGGCCTTAATGCCTATGTTAACTCAGTCTATATAAAAAATCTTACATCGCTTTAAATCACACCAGGCTATTAAAATAGATGACTCAGACGGTAGAAGCACCATGTCTAAACAAATAGTCGCGTGTTGACCTTGTTCAAATGCAGGGAATCCCGACTACAAACACAAACACGCTTGTAGTATGACTCGCTCATCAACGCGTGTGCGGTAGGAAGTCATTGTGTTTCATAAGTGTTGACATTCTCTTAAGTACTTCTAATGGTATGTATCATTCATTAACTATCTCCATTCTTAAAAACCTTTCATAATACACTCCTTATGGCAGTTAAAGAAAATCATTTTGATATGAAGTATGGGGGAGAGGATGTAGAGTTTGCGAAAGTATGAGAAAAAAAATGTCTGAAATGAATGAAAACGAATTATGATAAAAAGTTGAAAAGAAGAAAAAAAAGATGAATGAACGAACGAAGGAACGAATAAATGGAAGAATAAATAAATGGACGGAGGAATAAATGGACGGACTGATGGAAAGTCATGAAAGAAAATCGGCATGTTGTTGGTGACGCGCATTGAATAGAATTTTTGATTATGATGACGATGGCGATAATGCAGCCGATGACGACAATAACGCTGACGATGAGGACGCCAACGATGGTGACAATGCTGAATATGACGCTAACAATAATAATAATAATAATAATAACAATAATGACAATAATAATAATAATAATAATAATAATAATAATAATAATAATAATAATAATAATAATAATAATAATAATGATAACGGTGATTATACTGATGATGATATCTTAATTTGAATAAAAGTATAAGGAACATTTTTTATATCAAACTCCTACTAAGACCTCTCTCTCTCTTTCTCACTCTCTTTATATATATATATATATATATCACATTATATATACACAATATAATATTGATTATTCAAATATATCAATACATCAAATATACATTATTGTCTAGAATTATATACACATATAAGCATCTAAATAATTAAAATGTAATAAATAGCAAATAAATATATCTAGAGATGTGATGTTGTGGTGAACGACACAAAAATATACAAAAATAATAAAGTGATATAAAGAGATTGTAATTAAAAGAATGACAAGCACTGCTTTATCCAGCTCTGTATTCGGAAATTATTTGAAGAAATAATAGTTAAATTTCAGTAGCATTACATTATTACTGCTGCAATTCTATCAGACACACTCATATGCATCGATTGAGGAAGTTATTGGGATAGTTCAAAAATTACTTGCTAGGTTGACTTCTTACGGGTGTGCTTAATCAGATTACTTTAATCTAATCTTTCCTCACTATTTAGCTTGTACCTTCCTTGAATGATTTTAGTATTGTTACTTTACAGAAGTTCTCTTCTTCGTCACTCCTTACATACCAACTTTTTTTTAACTTAGTAACACTATATCATGCATAACGGTATTTCTTTTAAAAACTTTAAACTAAATTAGCTATAAACTTGTGTTTAAATACTATGATATATAACCAACACAAACTCATGTGGAAATTAAAATTGAGGGTATATAACCTTATTTGAAACAAATTCTTTCTATATTGTTCCTATTTAAAATCAACAAACCTGTCTGCCATCAAGTATGTGACACTTGGAGGAGAGAACCATCTCAACACAAGCAGGATCTTTGAAGGTTACAAAACCAAAACCCCTCGATTTGCCTGTTCCTGGGTTCTTCATCACCACACAATCTATCACCTCCCCATATCTGCTGAAGTACTTTAGCATTGAACCTAAACAGCCCCCAATGGAAATTAAGCAGCATTGTTATTTTAATTTATTATAATTTTATAATTTATATTAATAAAATTACTAAAAATATTAGCATACATACCATTGTTAGTGCTCCAACTCAGTCCTCCAACAAATACTTTCCTGTGTGTATGAAATTTAATTTGGCAAGTGCAATATTTAATAATAATATTAATAATACTCATAATAATTAATACTTTTTAAAGAGAAATATTAAATATTTTATCAAGTTTAAAAAAATTAAGATCAGTAAATGAAAAAAAATGACATACCCTTTCTCATCTCCTTGTTGTTGCATGGCTAACTTCTCTAATTTCAGCCTTTCAGGAGGAGTGGCGACAAATAAATTTATTTTTAAAAAGTTACAAACCACACCACCACCACAACCGGATTCAGCAGACTGCAATACCCGGCACGGACTTTTATTACAAAAATTACAAATTTTTCAACAATTAAACACTCAAAAATAATTTCAAAGATAAATTTCTAAACGCAAATAACTTAATGAAATGTATCTATTGGCAGAAGTTTAAAAGAACTTCCAGCTTGTTTGTTTCACCTCACAACCGCATAGCTAACAACAGTTTTGAACTTTCATGTTTATGCTCAAACTTTTAAGTCTATGATTATATATATATATATATATATATATATATATATATATATATATATATATATATAATTAATATATAAATATATACATATATATATATATTTATTTATTATAGTTAATTATTTAATAAAGATTGTTATAATTAAGTTATAATAATAGTATTTCGGTTGTCTAATATGATGCAAATACACAAGGATGTCTCTAAACTGTACTCCGTTGTAGATAGAGACACATACCTACACACGCACACATACATACATGCATAGACTTACTGTTGCATGCATACATACATGATATATACAAGCATATATCGAAACGTACATAGAAACATGTACATACACACAAACAAGCACGTATACATACATTAAACAGTAAAAATTCAACATATATCAGAATGTAAGGTACATGTGTGTATTTATGTATTTATACATATTTATTATTATATTGAATAACAAGTTATGAAAAATGGTCAATAACATATTAAATGTTTGAAAGCAGAAATTATTGTTCAATATTTTTATCGTCCTCATGAATCAAGTAGCACGGCAATTACTTAACGCTCCGTTGAACGCGTGTTAAAGGAATGATTTGTGCCCTCTTGCCAATTTCCAATGATTAATGTCGTTCAAATGTGTTAGTTTGATTATGTGATGCTGTTTGCTACATGCCACGTGTTATTAAGTACACGAATACGGCGTAACAATCGAATAAACAATTGCCTTATCTATTTATTTATTTGTATATGATGAAAGTTTAATTGCTTAAAAACTTGAAAACATTTTAAAAATAAATGTACGGAATTGTAGAATATACTCTGCCGCTGGCTTCGTAATTTCACGAGCGAGCGTAAAAATTCAGCACTTTTTTGAATGAGACTACAATGTCACGGCGTAGACATATATGCGTATACACACACAAAGTATTTCAACATACGCTCTTATCTCTAAAAAAAATAGCTCATCACACGACACTCATTACATAAACTCTCCCACGTAAGCTATAAGTCAGAATGTGAGTGGATTTAACTGAAGGACACATCAGCTCTCGCTCATTCACAAACATCGTATGAAATACTGAAAGACACGTTCATTACTCAGGCGCGAAAATCACTTCATATAATCTGGATACAATGATAAGTTGTTCATTTGGAACCCGACTCCCTGCCAACTGATCGTTCAAACGCCGCAAAGCAACTCCTGTCTAGATAAACTACCGACAGTTAATTTATCAACTAATTCATTTTTATATTTCATAAACCATTCAAATGACTAAACCCGAGAACAACAAATAAAAATATATCAAATAAATAATAAATAACAAAATAATAAAAAGATATATACGTTATTTGAAATCAAATTGTTTCTAAATAACAACATTTCATTCTATATTAACAATATTTCATTTTATATTAACAATTTCATTTAGAATTCAAATCAACACACCAAAGTAACAAATCTATATAACCAACAATTTCAAATCGACAGGTTGGTATCCATTGTAAAAAGCACATAACAAACGATAATACATCACCAAATTTTAAATACCATACCATTATAAGTTATTGTCATTTTTATTGATAAATTGATAATTTATTATTTTTGTGATTTGATAAAGTTGATGAGTCCATTGGTAGAGGAATCATGGCTCGTTACCGTCTCTTCGGAACTCTTCAAATCATTCAGTATCACCTTAGCTAGCTGCTTTCCTAACTCAACACTGCATAGCATTAGTAACATATTATAATATAACATAATATATAACATAATATAATATAATATAATATAATACAATATAATATAATATCGTCTATTCAAAACTTACAGGCTAATATACGCTTCGTGTATTTCATACAGCACTTGCATGTACATAAAAATGTATATGCTTCCTAACTCAACACTGCATAGCATTAGTAACATGTAGATAATATAATATAATATAATATAATATAATATAATATAATATAATATAATATAATATAATATAATATAATATAATATCGTCTATTCAAAACTTACAGGCTAATATACGCTTCGTGTATTTCATACAGCACTTGCATGTACATAAAAATGTATATGTACGTCATGTGGTGTGATGTCGTGTGGTGTGGATGTTACATGCAAACGTGTGAGTGTGTCATCTGGTGTGGATGTTATAGCCTTTGAACCAGAAAATTCAATCAAGTAAAAAAAGTTTTATGGTCTTATAGACAGCTCTGAGTTTCGTATAAAGTTAACTAAACAAAGCACATCACTAACCCCCACTGGTCAAACGAGTTTATTCCCCAGATGATACCCTGTACAAAAATCTTGTGCTCATACATTGCTGGGTGAAAGAAAATGAAACAATTAAGTTATTTTCATCATTATTATAAAGTTATAATGAACCATCACGCTCTTCATAACACAACCGGTTTGTAAAGAAGAAATTATTGATAGCAATCTAAATGAACGATTTTTACTAAACAAAATATTTCGCCATTCAAGATACATATTATATTCGTAATTCTAAAAGCTTTCAACTAACATATCTTAAAAAATATATGCTATAAAATGACAAATAATGAAAATTTAAATTTAAAATAGGCAAAAACAATCGAACCAATAAGAAGGCCAAGAACAAAAGGTGTCAGTTTAGTGTAGATGATCGAGTTGCTAGGCCTGTTGCCTTCAAACACCTAATAATAATAATTATAATAATAATAATTATAATAAAAATAATAATAATCTACTCTGTCAAATATTAATTCTGAAATAGTGAAATATTAACGCTAATAATAGTAATTCATCACATTCGCCCATCTACTAAGTTAAGACAAAGCAACCATCATTTGCAGTACAAGCACACCAGAGAACATGGGCACATTACATGCGTTCACGCTCATACATGTACGTGGCAGAAATTTAAATAGACCTTGTGCGGTAGAAGGTGCTTGATGGTTTCGTTGGGCACACCCTCCTGGGACAGCTCCTTTCGTGCCTCCTCAGCTGTCTTGCCCTTCATCAGGGCCTCTGTCTGCGCCAGGAAGTTGGCCAACAAAATCTGCAAAGTTTGTTTGATTGGCTGACTGACTGACCACTCACGAACTTGCTATTTGATCGATTTGATTCGATGATCGACAGATTGTTTGAATAACTGATTTGATTGGCTGTTAATATTTTCGTAGTAGTTGGAGATGAAGAATTTAAACAGATGTATCTGTAACCAACAAAACATGAAACAAGAGACAAACTTCTTGATGCATATTATCCTGAATTGGATTGTGTGATTGGACCGCAATCAGGAAGTCACATGGCACTAAGCGGGTTCCTTCGTCGTATGATATTTAAAAACACATAAAAGAGAAAAAATTGAAACTTTAATTTTCATAGCACCATATCTGTCTGCAGCTTCACACACACGCACATACACAGACATCCACACAGATATCATATTTGCAAAACCTTGATGAATAAGCTGATAGAAAGCATGCTGCCCATTGGTGCCAGGCTCGCCCCATATTATAGGCCCCGTCGTGTATTTCACCCTGCTGCCATCCACCGTCACGTACTTCCCATTCGATTCCATGTCACCTTGCTGGAAGTAGGCTGGAAATCTATGCAGATACTGTTTGTGTATGTGTATGTGTGTGTGTGTGTGTGTGTGTGTGTGTGTGTGTGTGTGTGTGTGTGTGTGTGTAATAACGATTAATAACAATGATGGCGAGATTTCGTTGGTTACACGAACGGCAACAATGAAACACAACCACACCAACAACAACAAAACCAACAACAACAACTAAATAACACACAACACACAACAAACCTGGTCATACGGTAGAATGGCATGTGTCTCAGACCCAAAAAAATTAGTGTACCAGACGCCGAGCAGCGCTAATATAATCGGCACCTGGAAATTATTTATTTGTACTAACAAAAATTACAACTAAGGTTTTCTGTAATAATAAAAATAATTATTTATTTATTTATTATAATAAAAAATATTATATAAAAAAACAAAATTTAATACCTCTAATATTAATCACTGTTATGATCATTAATCCCTATCATCACCATCTTCATCGTCGTCGTCATCATCAACCACAATCACAATTATCACTATCATCATCATCGTCGTCATCATCAATCCCAATCCTCACCATCTTCATCCTCATCGTCGTCGTCGTCATCATCAACCTCAATCAAAATCACCATTAAATAATTAAGTAAATGCAGAAAGGAAAGAACAAAAAAAAAAAAAAAAAAAATTCCGACGTTGGATTCAACTGGCTGATTCAAGAAGTGGTTATCCATAAAATGAGCGCCCTCCAGCAACTCCGTGAAATGGTCAAAACCTAATGCATAATAATAATAATAATAACAAAATATAATAATAATAATAAAAGTAAAAAGATATTATTATTATTATCATTATTTTATATTTAAACCTTTAATTATATTATATATTTTGGCTTCATAAATATTTCTTTAAATATCTTTTATTTCATTTTATTTAGTGCTTCGACAAAAGAGTGTTACTATAATAGTAGTAATAATAATAAAACAACAACAATAATAATAATAATTATAATAATAATTATTATAATAAACAGCAACTGACCAATGTAGATCGAGATGGACAGACCGATAGCTGACCAGAGCGAATACCTCCCGCCTACCCACTGTTTCATGTGAATTATTTGAAGATGATGTGATGATAACGTAATTGTGATGACGTCAGAATGACGTCAGGTTTGGGAATGTTGTGAGAAGGAGCGTAGTTGATGTTTGTTACGTATGCTATGGGATGATTACATAAAAATGTTATTGTCGTTGTTGGATGACTATGATGTCATCACCGAGATAATATTACATTACGTCTATAATGATGATAATGACGTCATAAGGTTATCGTCGTGATGACAGTTATACCAAATCAACAAAATGAAATCATCACCAGGATCACCACTATCCTCATCAACATCATCATCTTCGTCGTCGTCGTCATCATCATCAAGGCCATCAAGATCATCATCATCACTCACATCCCAAAATTCAAACATATTCTTCTCCTCAATGCCAAACTCCTTCACTTTGGCCTAAATGAATTAATAAATTATGATAATAAGATAATAATATCGCGCACACACACACACACACACGCACACATACACACACGCATATATTTATAGCATATATATAGCATATATAGGCAAAATCTGATACAGAAGAAAAATAAAATAATTGTGAATACAACTGAATGGCGAATGTATGCTTAAAATAATGGTATCTAAATTTGAAAGTAACAGGCCACTGAGCTAGCATCTCAAAATGATGTACAGATAATTCAACGTTAGAAAGCATGTACTGTAGATACTGTACAAGCACATCGTATTTGCTTACTTACTGTATTGGTTGAGAGTGCCACGAAATGGCGGGCCACCGATGAATCCTGGTGTAATTCAATTGTACTACATTTCATGAACGCAATTATTTGTTGAAATAATGAATTTTAATTATTATAAAGATAGATAGATAGATAGATAGATAGATAGATAGATAGATAGATAGATAGATAGATAGATAGATAGATAGATAGATAGATAGATAGATAGATAGATAGATAGATAGATAGATAGATACCGCATCGTCACTGTGAAACTATCATCAGTTACACCAATCATTGAAATCATCACCTCCACACACAATCATCATCATCATCGTTATCATTAAGCATCATCATCACCAACAACCATGCATCAACATCCAGGTGGGAAGGGTTTGTTGCAACTGTTTGTTGGATCGACTGATTTGACGGTCCAATCGGCTCCACCGCGAGAAGGCAGTTGCTCCAGAGCTTTTCTGAAGTCCGCTCTAAAAACACTTCACAATAACACCATCAAAGCCGCCACAGAGACGTATCAGTCGCCGTTGTTGTTGCTTGACGGATGGCCTCCACCTACACCAAAAATAGATCCAACAGAAGAATCACTTCCCAGGGCAATCAGGCAGACCCTAGCTCAACTCCGTTCTGGCCATAGTATTCTTCTAAACAGCTACAAAAACAGAATCGACGGTGGGCACAATCATCCTTTCTGCAACAATCATGTAGATGATATACCGCATCTGTTTAGCTGTCCACAAAACACCACAAAACTACAAACAATAGACCTCTGGAGAAACCCAATTGCATTGGCGGTTTGGCTCCGGCCTCGATTGGAACCCTAGGGGTCCCCCAGAATGGGGCAACAACAGCAACAACAACATGCATCAACATAACCATCAACCAAGCATCATCACCATAACCTTCAACCTCTTGAGTGGCCTTCAGAAGCCACTGTTTGGCAGCGTTAGCGTTGGTGATAGTTTCTTGCGTCGTGAATGTCTGGAAGCAAATTTATCAAGTTGAGAAAATAAAATTATGAATAATCATGAATAATTATGAATAATTATGTTTAATCCATGTTTAACTATGTTTAATTGCGTTTAAACGTGTTTAACAACCTTGGAGGCAATGATGAAGAGGGTGGTGAGCGGGTTGAGCGTCTTCAATGTTTCGGCAATGTGGGTGCCGTCCACGTTCGAGACAAAGTGGACCTTCACTGAGCCGGCGTACGGCTTCAAGGCCTCTGTAACCATCAACGGGCCCTTCGTGCAATTCCATCCCCCACGTTAATATATCAACTTAAACAACAGAATTATATGGAACAATTTTTTTTCAAGAACCTATTATTAGCAGATATCAGTGCTAATGACGTAACTGGCGAAACACCACGTAGAGAGAGAGAGAGAGAGAGAGAGAGAGAGAGAGAGAGAGAGAGAGAGAGAAAGAGAGAAAGTGTGTGTTATAACACACATAAGACACACATGGCAGAGACACACTCACAACAGACAGACAAAGAGACATGCTGCACACAACATCACAGACCTGCACACAACAACACAACACTACAGACTTACACACACACACGCACACACACACACGCACACACACAGACACACACACAAACACAACACTTACAGACACACAAAGATTTTCATACATACATACTATACTCCCTAACCAAATCAGATCCCCCAATGCCAATGTTGACGACATCACTGATGCACTCCCCCGTGTGACCTTTCCACTCACCAGACCTGACCTCTTCTGAGAAAACCTTCATCTGATTTAACACACGTCTCACCTCCGGAATAACCTAAATAAAAAAAAATTAGCTAATGAAAAAGTTGTGAATTTATTTCTACAACAGATGCAAGAGATAAGCAGGGATCTCTTTGAATTCAAACCCAGTAGCTGCAGCAGCATGATCAGGCACCTTAACCATTTCACCACCCAGAGAATGCTATAAATAGAAACATGTAACAAATTCCTAACGTTGACACCGTCGACCATGACGCTGGCGTCGGGAACTTGATTTCTCAGGGCAGTATGGAGGACGGCCCTCTTCTCCGTAAAGTTTATTTTCTCGCCTGCAAACATGGCATCTCTGTACATTTCCACGTTCCTTGAACGAGCCTAACAAAAAACAATAATTTTCCCAAATGTGTGTACATCTGTGTGTGAGCTTAACAAAAAAAAGAATTTTTTTTACAAATGTGTGTGTGTGTGTTGTGTTGTGTGTGTGTGTGTGTGTGTATGTATGCGTTTATGTATGTGTGTGTGTGTCTCATAATTCTAAATAATAATAATTTTTTATCAGGTCATTGAAAATATTCTAAGTGGTCTCGAGTTATCTTCCATGGTAAACAGGCTATTTCTAGATAAACAAACACTTAATTTAATAGATAATCAGAGGTGAACTGTTTTTTAATATAAATTTCCCAAATATAATATTAAATATTATATTTTATTTTTAGTAATTAAGATTTAATTATAATTAATTATTAGTTATAACATCAATAATTCATAAAAAAAGCTAACGAGACTGAAGAGGTAGTTGAGTACAACATCATTGATGATATTTTTGGAGTAATCAAACAGGAAGTTTCCATTTGGGATGTCTAAGTTGATACTGTTTGGTTTCATTGTAACAGCATGTAAACATAACATGTAGCATGTAACACACCACATATAACATGTATACATGCAACATATAGCATGGATACAAGCAACATGTAAAATGTTACATAATATTTAACATGTAAAGATGCAATATACAGCATATAACAGGTAAATATGCAATATACAACATGTAAATATAAACATGCAGCATAGAACATGCAAAATAAAAAAACAACATACCATAACTTGTAAATATAACATGTGACATTTAAATATTTATTCTACTATTTAGCCATAACTACCTACATAGAACCAAGTCAAAACAGATCTCAATTTTATACTGGAAACTAATTAAAAATGTTAAAGTTTAACCAATAACATAATCTAGATATATATGCAATAAATTACAACTTATGCTTAACTTATCACATAATAAATGTTATAAATACAGTATAATGATAAACAAATGCACAGCATATGAAAATGGTTTAACAAATAAATGGCAGAAAGAATAGAATAGACAGAGACACCCTTAGTTAGTATGATTATGATAGATAGAAACATCTGATTAATATGATTATGATAGAATAGAAACATCTGAAACTTTAGAAAACCATTTTTGAAAGAAATTGAAATGTTCAGCTGTGAAGTATTCTGTATCATTATGATTCAGATTAATATGATTATGATAGAATAGAAACATCTGAAACTTTAGAAAACCATTTTTGAAAGAAATTGAAATGTTCAGCTGTGAAGTAATCTGCATCATTATGCATCAATATAATTTATTTACAATTTACATTACACACTATACAATTTTTTATAGTATACATTTGATAGAGCCTTTCTTTAGTAACTAAAGTTTAGTTAGAAGTTGGAAAATTGAGTAATGAACTTAAAAAAAAAGATTTAAAAATTTGAAATAAAATGAATCATTTTTTTATCAAACTCTTGTGTTTGAAAATATTAAATATAACAAGCAAACAAAATAAAATTTTAAATTGTTAATAATTTAAATTTGGCAACCTTGAACTATCGCCGTAAAATTAAGTGAAGGTGCCTTTTAAAATTTAAAAGTTATGCAAGGGACCTACCTATATTTTTTAAAACGCTCCTTATCTTCAAGAAACAGTTTCCAAATATTTAATTTGACACCCTCCTCCTGGTAGTACTCCATGAGGATTTGGTAGTTGGAGTCATTTGTGAAGGTGCCAGCGTACGGAACGGCCATTTTGAGAAAAGTTAGGGGAAGACTGGAGTTTGGTTTGAAAAAGTAACCCAAATGCTAATGTACGACAGTCTAATTACTAACGGTAAGATCAGATGTGAAAAATGATGTACTGTTTATGTCGGTATTTCGCTTGTCGGTTATTCTATAAACATCATTTTTTTTAGCTAAATTGTTAAAAAATAACATTATAATATCATGTACAACTGAATTATCAAAAAAATTATAATTTTAATTTGAGTGTATGTTTGATTATTAGATAATAATGCTACCGTATACATTTTGTGGCTTTTTCCCTTAACTCGAAATTCATATTAAATATTTCTAAAATTTCTTTCATTCATTAATTATTGATAAAAAATTTATTGATACTTGTACGAATAAGTATTTTAAGTATATGGCATAAGCCTCATCTGCTATTAAACCGTACATATATATTCAAAAAAGGGATAAAAACAGCAATATAAGAAGAAATAGCAGTATAGAAGAAAATGCATGTAGACATATATATATATATATATATATATATATATATATATATACATATAGAGTATTTATCTTCTATGTTGTGTTGTATTCCATATGTGTGTGCATGTAGAACGTGGAAAATGCTACCAAGCCATTGTTTGCTCATCACTACTTATTGAAAAGTTAGCGCGAGTCACGTGGTTAAATTTGGAGGAAGTTTTAATTTGTTTGTAAATCGCAAAATTTTAAATTCGTAAAATAATTAAATATTAAAAATAAAAAAATGGCGACTCGAAGCAAATATGAATCAAGATATAAGGAGAGAACAAAATTAGTGAAAGAAGACACTAGGCAAAAGTTGAATAATGAAAGGCAGAAGCGATCAAGAGATGAACTGATGAATGCAAGGAGAAACATAGAAACTACTATTACGGCCACCGCAAAAAATAATAATAAAAATAAAGCTAATAATAACAATAGTAACAGTGTTACTAACAAAAATCAGTCATCCCAGTCCAGCTGGCAAGAGGATTCTGCTAGTATGAAAAGTACACCATAGCCTTTTAATTTTTAATTTTTTGTTAAATTTTTTTTTATAATAATTTTTTTTTGTATTTATATTGTATATAATATATATATGTATGTGTGCATGTATGTGTGTATGCCTTTTTATTTGTTTTTAATTGCTTATAGCAGCTATACTTATTTTTTTATAGCAGTGTGTGTAGCCATTGCTATTTAATAAATTTTATAGTTTTTAATTATTACATTGAAATTATGTTCAGATGTTGGTTCTTTGATGACAAATTAGAAATATATAAATGAATATTTTACATAATCAGTTATATAGTTATTTATTTCATATTCCTAGGGACGACTCGATCGAGAACTCTTAGCAAGACTCAAAAATCTATTGATATCGGTATAAAATGAATGAATTAACATTACTATTATTATTTTATTATTATTTAATTTTTTGTTGTTTTCAAATCTGTTTAATATTTTTGCTATTTTTAATTTAATTTCATTTTTCTAGGTAAAAATCCGAAAGCAGCTCCAGCATTCATAGTTCAACCTACTCAACTAGTAGCATCTAAAGCTAGTGGAGGTATGCGACAAAAAGAATTTGTCATGTTTTAAGATTTTATTCTTATTTTTCTGCCTAATAACATCCTTATTTATAATGCTACTGAAATATATGCTCTCTAAACATTTCATCAAAAAATTTTTTTTTAATATCTTAGGCCGCAGGACAGGTTTGTCACTGCCAGCTAATAATGGTAAGTATGGATTATTATTATATTATGAACTATTATAATTTTTATGTAATGTTTTTTGTGTCGTTTAACAATGTGTTTTTCTAGTAAATTAATCAGGTATTAATCATTAATTATGTATTAGTACATTCAATTGATTATATTTAATTATATTGATAATAATCTTGAATAATGAATTGCAGACGGTGTATGTGCGATGTACATTGTTACGTTGTAATATGGTATTAAAATATGGTGCTATATACTTTTATTATGTGGTATTTTGATGTTTTAATTTGATGTTATTTACATCAAATAGTTATTTATGTATATTATAATATGGTGTTTTGGTCTAAATGACCTTATATTTTGAGTTTTATTTTGAATAGATGTTTTTGAAATGATTTAAATAGAAAAAAGACCCAAAGCAGCTAGCATCCAGAAGGCTCCTTCTCCGGCTAAAGGTCTGTAAATTATTTTTTCTCAGTTTTTCAATTTTTTTATTATGTGTGTTATATCTATTCCTTGTGTTTTTTATTTTTTATTTCTTTTTCAAGTTTTTAAAAATTTTTATAATTTCATTATTATCTCTAAAAAAAATTTTTTTGCTATAGTTGTAAATTCCAAAATCTCATCCATAGAGACCAGATCAAAGAAGACAAAGCAGGCAGTACAACCTGCTACCAACAACAACAGCAGCATTCTTGGTTTGTATGTTTTAATATGTTGTTTCTGTGCTTTCTGTTGAAAATAAAATGACACATTTTGTTTCGTTTGTTCAGATTGTATTCGTATTTTGATTGTGTATTTTAATGCTATGCTATCTATCAAATTATTGCATTAGTATTTTGGTTTTTGTTTTTGCAATACTTTCAAATTTAAATTTAGAACAAAAACTGACCCTATATCTTAGATTTTTCTTTCCTTATTATAATTTTTTAAAATAAATAATCTATCTCCACTTGAAATTTATTCATCATAATTTTTTCAAGTTTTGTAATTTCATTATTATCCCTGAAAATTTATTCCATACTTTTTACATAGTTTATATTCATATCATAATATATTTATATATTCATGATTGATTTATATATTCATATCAATATATATTCATATATTCATATCAATATATATTCATATCAATATATATTCATATGTTTATATTCATATATTCATATCATATCATACATATCAGTTTTATATCATCTTTTATGAAATAAAGTTGTTAAATAAAAACAACAATCCAACAAACGTGAATAATATTTATTTATTTAATTAAATTTAAATGTTAATTACTTATTTGATTTATTAAACTTTTGATGTTAAACTTTTTTCATAGCTGGTTCTGGGTACACTTGTTCTAGATCAGCTAATAATTCACATCCGGCTATTAATGGTAGACGTGGAGCATTGTAGTTATACAATGCAATATTTTTACATCATTGTAATATCATTACTACTGCAGTTACTACTGCAGTTTTATCTCTAATTACTGTGATTGTTGTACATAGTCAAAATTAGTTTCTTGTAAAATTGTTGCCTCAGGAATTTATGATTCGTTCATTAATATGTACTTGTAGTTTAGCAGAGGTTGCTAGTTTAATAGAATTCTTGAGGTCGTTTTTTTAATTTTTGAAAACTTTTTCAAATTCGTTTATTTATTTATTTATTTATTTTTTTTTTATTAGGAGTAGCATCAAAAGGTGTTCAACCTGTTCAGAGAGGTATGCATGCTGATGTGTCAACTGATTGATCGATTGATTCATTTGTTTGGTTGGTGACTGCAATTATTCAGTTACTGGCTGATTGTTTATTTATTTATTTCATTGATTGGTTGGTTGGTTGGTTGGTTGGTTGATCATTCATTCATTGCCCTTACAGCACAATATACATGTTCCAATCATTGTTATAATTTATTGCTAGGAAGTGCAAAGTCGAGGACAAACGACAGCAAACCAACTTTGAATGCAAGTCTTGAAGGTGCTCAGTTCAATTTCAGTCGTTTGATTGAGTCATTTGGTTGATTGAAAAGATGATTGGTTGGATTGTTGAGTGAATAATTGATTGAATAACTGGGTGAGTTATATGTGTACAACTTTTTAAAATTCACTCAACTTTTTCAGTGATATCTTCAAGGAAGTTGAGATCAGCAAGACCACAGCCACAACAATCGTTATCTTTGATTGTTGAAGCCACCAGGAAGCCTGCAGCCAAGAAAGTTGCTGCTGAGGCTTCTGCTAAACCTGCAACATCCAGAGTAACTGCAAAGAGCAGTACTGCAGCTAATACTAGAAGAAATGAAGTTTCTGAAGAATCTAAAAGAAAACCTAGAAAACCATTAAAAGAGGAAGAAAAGAAGCCAATGAAGAAGGAAGATAGAAAAAAGTTACAGAAGACGGCCGAGAAAGGAACCAGAAAATCAAAGGATGGTTTAATAGATGAGGCTAAAATGTCAAAAAGTGATGTCACCGCTCCATCTTTTGCTCCTCCTGGCTTCAAATTCGTTCCTCCATCTAATGTTTCTTCCTTCAATTTTAACAAACAAACCACCAGTGCTATTGCCTATACAGATATGGTTATTCCATCCTCTGGCTTCTATTCAAGGTTTCTGTGCGTACGTGTGTATGTGTGTGTGTGTGTAAGTGTTAGCGTGTTTATATGAAAACATGAATCATACTTTTTTCTATATAAAAAAAAGTTATCTGATGCAATCAGTTAATTTCAAATATCTTTCAGAACTCTATTGCTGTATAAGCAGCAACGTTATAAATATGCTTTCATTGATTGTTCTAGTGAGGAGTTGTTGTTAAGCTGTGAAGTGGTGATTGTTTCCATTTGTTACATGCATGTTTTTGTCATTTTCGATGTTATTTACTTGCCTTGACTTCATTCTGATATTTTTGTTTCTTGTTACATAATTTATGTGAATGCTTGATTTGATTTTGTTGCAGTTCAAGGTCACTAAGATCCGGTAAGAATGCCGAAGATTCTTCATCTGATTCTCTATCTCCTGTCCCATCCGCAACTGAATGTACGTTGCTTTGTGCTTCTTTTTGAATTAACCCTCCAATGCATGACTTAAAATTTTTTTGTGATTTTGAAATATTTTATTTAGCATAGTTTCAAAACATCAAAAAAGCCAATTAAAATGAAATTTAAAAAAAATAAAGTAAGTTATGATCAAAAAACAAAGTGTTCCTAAAAAGGTACGTTATGAGTTAATACTCATGGTAAATCATTTCCTGTGAAAATGTTCAAAGCATTCCAAGTAGGGCAACATCACATTTTAAACATTTCTTTGATACTTTCTTGTGGCACAATTTACATCTTTTTCGTCCATCCGAAATTTTTCCAATGAAATGGTCTTTTCCATCAAATTTTATTTCATTTTCAACGTTACGGTTTACTGATTTTCTTTTCAGATCTTCTGGTTGGTTTTGCCCAAATATAGTTTTGGCAACACTTCTCCTGAACCCAGCATAAGTGTGATTTTCATGCTTTGAGTATTTTTTGGAAATGCACCAAGCATTATGAATGCTAGAATCCAAAGCGAAAGCAAAAAGCGGCCACCACCATTTTTTAATCCGAATATTGGTGCGCAAATTTTCAATGTTTTGATCCATCCTGTCAGTTCCACTCATATATTTATTATATTGATTTATTATATATGGCTGGGATATTAAAACATGCTTCTTGTTTGCTGAAGACCATCTTTTCACTTCCTTCATTGGTTCCAGCCCATTGCAGCTTGACAAGATAGAAACCACACTATTGTCATTCCATCTAACCGCAATAATATTCGAATCACTATCTGTAAAATAGTCAGATGTGCCTCTAGGTAATTTTTTCATTTCTTTTATATCCATCAATGGACATTTCTCTATTCGGTTAATTCTAACTGTACCGGTTGCATAAATATGATTTTCTTTTAGTCGTTCAATTAATTTGAACGAAGTGAAAAAATTGTCAAAAAATAAATGATATCTCTTATCATCAGGAAGGCATGATGTCAGTTTTTTAACTACTGATCCACCGAGTCCTAAATCTGGATCATAATCTTCAGTGGCTCCTTGATAGGGTTCACAACTCACTAAATAACCGAGACGATTATTCATGCACCAAATTTTGAATCCGAATCGGATAGGTTTACCTCTTATAAATTGCTTAGAGGAATGCCTACCAAAATATGGTATCATGGACTTGTCAATTGATAAACAAGTTTCTTCTGGCCAATATTTTAAAAATCTTTCATTTAACATATTAAACAGAGGTCGAACTTTGGCAATTTTATCTTTTGTGTCAATTTTTTCGTTATCGCATGTGTGTAAATATCTGAGAAGTTCCTCGAACCTATTCACACTGATGGCATTACTCACTGCTAAATTATGAACATCATTGCTTTGTTCCCAATACATTCGTCGATTTGGCAGAGGAGCATAACCCGATAAGAGCAAAACCGCTAATGTCACTTTATATTCTTCTTCAGTGGCATTCAACTGCTTCAACTTCTGACTAGCATATAAATTAGACATGTCAGTGATGAATTTGATTATTTCATCATCAAAAAATAATTTAAACAGAGTGTGAGGAGATGAATTCTCAAATTCTCTATTTTCAGAAAACACTGGTATGGGTTCTACATTCAAAATGTCACTCTTCTTCCAATTTCTTTCAATTGATATACTTTTTTTCACTCTTTTTTTTAATGGTGTTTGTATTTGCATATCAATTTCTTCTTTCTGAAGCATTTCTTTGCCTGCCTCAATGTTGGAAATTAATGCTTCAGCATTTGAATTCAATAAAGTTTTTGATAAATTGTCAATAATTCCTTCCCCATCCTCAGGACCACTATCTTGATCTGAACAGTTGGGATCATCAGGTGGTAGCATAATGATATCTGCTGAAAAAAAATCTTTTTCATCTTCTAACATGCTAACAACATCATGGAGTGAATATCTGTAATTAGTAAATTTACCATTCAATGCACTGCATAGTGTCCCGAAAAAGGAACAGTCATAATTTTAGTGTTTATAAAAAAACTACAAGATGTTCTATCATCAATTTCACGTAATTAACTAAATAAATAATAATGCAATTTAAAATTTTTAAAAGTTTCAGGAAAAAATTTAATCAAAATTGTTTATTACCTTTTTTGATTAGACATGTCAAAAAATCGAAATTTTCAGTATCGCTGATTTTAAACATAAAAAACTTCAACAAATTTTCTGATGAAACAAAAAGGTAAACAAAATAGTGAAGATGGGTGATTTATAGAGATGTGCTATAAAAAAAAACTCAAATAAGACAAAGACTAATTTGATAATGAATTTAAAAGAGCTGTTCCTAAAAAGACCCACTATGCATTGGTGGGTTAAAATGATCGACAGTTTGATGTTTCGTTTATTACATTTCGAAATGTTGTTTGTAGTGTAGCAACTGAGTTATTGGGTGTATACAATCGATATAAACTGTTCTGCAGCATGAACCTAAGTTCTCGACACATTAATGATATCTATCTTGAATACTTTATGTACTGATTTCATATGTTTTAGATACTTGATACCGTGTAATCCCTAATGAACTTGTCAATTTAGGCAATTTATATTTTCACTATAACTTCTTCATGAATTAATTCTTAACATTAAAAAATCTTTTTTTAAATTTTAATTTGTTACTTTTTATAACCAGCAGCCAAAACACCAAAGTGTGAGACGCCTACCAGTCGTAAATATTCCATCAGCATCATACCTCAGCAGGGTTCATCTCTATTGGGTTCTGCTCCTCGTAGCAAGAGCAAACGTAATGCAAAGCTGGAAGATCCGAAAGTTAAAAGAACATCTATAACTGAGTCCGTCGATCAGTCAGCTGCAAAAACTTCTCTCTCAAAAACTGAAATAGTTCAACAATTGTTTGAGAACAACTTGGGGACAAGTGCACTACCGAAGGATGACACGCCCGTAAAGAGGAAGTTCTTCAAAAGTCGTGTGACTCCAGCTAGGAACAACGCTGAAGATGATGACGACGGTGATGGGGGTGAATTTGATGACTTGGGACCTTCTAGGAAGCAAATTGGGTTGAATAAAACCATTCATGTCGCACCATCCTCTTCATCAAAAGATGGTTTGTTGTTGTATTTTCGTTTGTTTGTTCTGTTATTAGTTTGTTGTTGCCATTTTAAGATAAAGTATCAATGGCAAAAATGTTTCTTCTTCAGCCAATATTTCCTCGAAATGTTAAACTACCTGAAAGTCATTCCTTGTCATTGTTCATTATCATCAATCGTTATTTATTTTATTCATTAAATATCGTGTTATTATTTATTTTTTTTATTTTTGCTACACCTAGAGGTCTTCAAGACCCCACTACCGCCATCTGCATCGGCCAGTAAAAACCGGAGGGTTTCGTACTCTCTCGAGAGGATACTCAGGGACCCTAAAAAGTGTCAGATGAGTTCGGTGCTGAAAAATTTATCGCCAGATCAACGGTTTGTTTCATTCATTGTTTTTTTCGTCGTCGTCGTTGGCTGTTGTTGATTTAGAAGTTCTCATCTATTTTATGCATAAGCTAGTGCGTGGTTTTTGTTCGGTTGTTGTTCTGTTACAATATCGTACTTATATGTCCAGATCTGTGCTGTCTAAATAATTAACAGTGCTAATTATATGTAGTACTCTGTTTGACTGAGGTAATAGAGTTGTACAATTAAATTCAAATTAATAAACTACCGACACACGTCACTGCACGCACATGCACACACACATATAAACACACACGCTCACCACACAACACACACGCACAAACGCACAGCCTACAGGTTCTCAACGTAAGTCCCATGATTGAAATGAGGAGGAGGAAGTATTCACTAACTCCTAATCGTAGCAGATTGGATTTGGACGAGGAGGAAGATGGCGATGCACCTGTTAATAATAATAATAATAATAATGATAGTAATAATAAAAATGATAATAAAGATTGCGACCACATGGTCGGTAGTGAAAGTAATGGAAATACCGAGAAATCTTTTTGCCCTAGTGCTGATTCTAAAGATGAAGATAGTGGAAACGCTCGTGCTGCTGCTACTGCTGCTGTTTGTGATGGTTATAAAGTTACCATTGAAAATAGATGCCCAACCGTTGAAGAGAAAGATGAGGATGTAGAGAAGGATAGTATGGAGATGAATAACTTCAAGTCTAGTGGGAATATCGATGAATCAGAGACTGTCAAAAACGCTACTACTTCTAATGATGATAATAAAGATGATGATAGACTAGCTGATACACCTAATGATATCATGGATGATAACGTACCTGATACATCTAATGATAACATGGCTGATGTAATCAGCGATAATAACGTATATGATATTAACGACAATGATAATATTGATCAAGTAGTGGAAAACAATAAAGATGATGACGGTGATAGTGAATCTAATAGAGATGATCATGCAGATGATGTTACCAACATCGATGATGATGTTA